GATTTGTTCATGACATATTCTTTTTTAGTTTTGATGATAAAAAAGTATTGAAAGAACAGTGGTTTATTTGATTTGTGTTTTATTTATGCAGGTTCTTGTTCTTCTACATAAATAATCAGAATCTGTTTTACTTAGACACACTTGGGAGTTGCTTCATTACTAGCTTCTGGTGGCAGAATTTGAAGAATGTTTGCTGGTGTGGCTTGGCGCAAACTCTGATGCTGAAGGTCCAATATTTAGATGAGTCACTACACTTAGCAGTTATATATCAGAATCTGGTACCACTCAGAGTTGGTGATAAAGCTGGAAGTCGTCCGTACTGTAGAAAGAAAACTGTACTATCTTATAAAATTTTCAGTCAGATTGCAAGGCTCAAGAAAAGCTGGCATGCTTTATGGATGACTACTTCTAACAGATCTATCAGTACGAGAACCTCTTGAAAACTCAAAGCTTAAACGTGTTACACAGTGGATTTAAAATCTAATGTGTATCCATCTTCAATGTCTCTTGTACTATGGGGCAAAGATAAAGACACTTGATCAAGTTACTTCCTCAACGGCTAGTTTTCTGCAAAGGCTATAAATATGGTTGAAAGTTCTCACTGAAAATAAGAATAAGGATTCTCCAAACGAAGGAGTATCAAGATCAAGAAACTATCAACTCTATTGTAATATGCAGATTTTCTGTTTGTATGTTGTAATTGTAAAAGCCTTAAGATTTATTAAACATTGTATATCTTAGAAATCTTAAGTGCTTTAGGTCTTTGTTATGGTGATTTCCCGTACCTATGATACTTGTATCATGTACACCTTGTTCTCTATCCTGCTAGGCCTGCTCAGAAGTTTAGATCAAAGTCTCTTGCTATGTGCTTGAGCAAAAGTTTGTCTCATTGGGATTCAAGGAAAAGTCTTAAGACTGGATTCTTAAGCCACATAAGTCCCATTGCTTAAGTGCTTGAGTTGTGAAAATCTTATTCAGCTAGACTGATTGAGCAAAGGAAAAGTTTTCATCTGAGGGGTATGAGCAGGAAGTCTCAAGTGCTGCTTGAGCAAGGAAGTCTCAAACTAGATGGCCAGAAGAGCAAATGGCTCAATCAGAGGATGTGAGAAAGGAAGTCTCATTCTGGATGGCCAGAAGAGCAGGTAGCTCGGTCAGAGTATGTGAGCATAAGTCTTAGACATGTGCTCTAAGCAAGAAAGTCTCAGACAGTTGGTCTGAGCAAGTGTGAAAGACTTATGCAGAAGCATAAGCGGTTGTAATCATGAAGTATGTATAATGAAAATCTCTTGTGAGGCAAGGGGACTAAGTACTCTCAGTTAGGGAAGGAGCCACGATAAATCTTTTGCTCATTCTACTGTTATTTGTTTACTTCTTTTATATCCCCTACCAATGAATTAAAATAGAATCTAAACACCAGTTCTGATTCTGAAACTCTGATCAGAAGTTAAATTAAAGAAAACGCAAAACACAATTCAACCCACCTTCTTGTGTACTTTTCACACCTTCATCAAGGTTGTACAGATGTGTGATTTGAATCATGCATAATGTGACTTGAATCATGAAGTCTGGTGAATGTTGGGAATTGGCTTTGTCTCATTTGAGTCGAAGAAGAGTGTGATTCAAATCACGACTCTTCATGACTCAAACCATGAGATACTCATGACTCGAATCAGGGCCTCACTCATTTCTTTCCAAACTTTGATTCAAGTTGTTGTTTCTTTGATTCGATCAATTACTTCATGATTTGATAAAAACTCGTTGTTTTTAGAGTTTGTTATGACTCTCTCTAATTAATCACTCTCCAATTGCTTTTTGATTTTTTGTCTACTATTCTTCTTTGAGTGTGTGACCATGAATAAAAGAGTGAGTGAGTGAATCTCAAGAAAGTGTGTGTTACCAAAATATCTTGTAATAATATTGTATGTTTTTGTAGTTGAACACAAAGAATGGATAGAGAGAGAGGGAGTTGGTCACTCAATTTATAGAATTGATCAACCTCTTAACATTTACAAAGAACCTAGAAACCAATATTTTACCAAGAAGCTTGAGAGAAACTAATGCGTGTTCTTCATTCACCAAAACCTATCTCCTTGTTAGAACTTTGTGATTAACCTCCTAAAATGTGGATCTTGTAAGTTTTAATTGTGTATGTGTGTGTGATTCTTCAGATACTATTAATCATTTTCAACCTTTGTCAAGAAGTATTTTTATAGATCTCAAACTCTAAATACTAAGTGTGAGAGGTGTATTAAAGGTACATTAGGAAATCTAGTGTTTTTCTTTGAAGTTATGTTTTTGTGTATCAGGTGGAAGAATCGTTTCTTGGTCATGAATTTTGGTTGTATGCCGTTCATAAATAGAGAAGAGTTTATATATACTCGATTGAAGATTTTGGTGAAACTATGTGAAGGTTGTCGCAGAACAAAGCTAAGAGTTATCTAATTATTTAAGGCTAATGGCAATCATTCCGAAAAATCTTCGCAAGATGAAAGGAAGAAATTATGCAGAAATAAAGCTTGAAGCATGTTATTGTGGATAGCATGGTTATTGGATCAAGATCATTGAGGATCTTATATGTAGCAGTTGAGTATCTACATCAACATAAGGAATTGTCATTTGATCTGTATGTAACTTTTAGATTCATGATAGTTCATTGTATCAAAATAATTGTATATTAACTCTTGAAAATAGCGGAAGACATGATTATTTCTCAGTGGTTTTAAACCATTGAAGAATGGAGTAGGTGAATGCGAGGACGATAATATCGAACCAACATATATCTCTGTATATTTTCCTTCTTCCCCATCTCACTTTAATTTTCTGCATTCTATGTTCCATCATAGCATAATTATGTCATATAGGTTAGGTCATGATTGTAGTAGTTTATTATATAAGCATAGGTTTGTGTTTCATGAAATCTATTGAATTGTCTTTAAGTTAATTGTGATAAGAAGCATGACTATGTTGGGATATTAAATTGTTTGGATCAAGGAACTTGAATTATACTATTTTGTTTATGTCCTTGAAACGATCAAGGTTTTAGTGACACCGTTGAAATATATTGGTTAGAATTCATATTGATGAGATTCTAAGCTTCCATCTTATTTTGTTTTCGCTTCCGCCCATTGAACTATGATTTTGTATTAAAAGTTTTTGAAATTGTTTTTAAAAGGGACCGGTCTATTCAACCCCCTGGACCTTTTTCATATTTATATTCCCAACCATTAAGCTATGAAATTGTATAAACAAATGTTATACTTTTGATTTATAATTCATCATGAAAATTCGAGTTAGTCAAGAACGGTCATCCATAAAACAAACAGACCGTCTCGCATCGGAAATGTTAGAAACAATGGTTGGTTCCAAAACATCATAATGAATAAGATCGAATGATTTAACACTTCTAGTAAGGTTTGCAGGAAAAGTAGTCTGGTTATGTTTAAAAAAAATCACAAATATCACATTTAAAGGACATTACAAATTGTTTGAAAATAGGGATGGAAACACACAATTTATTAATGAAAAAGAAGAATAATCAAGACGCTTATGTTGGATCCATATTTGGGAGGCAGAAGATGACACTGATTGAAATTGAAATGCAAAAATCAATAATCAGTTCCTACATCAAAGAGATGGCATAATCCTCCATGTTCCTTAACAAATACAATCGTCTTCTTAGTTGCAAGATCTTAAAAAGTACAATGAGAATAAATAAATATAACTGCACAATTATTGTTCTCCGAAAGCTTACGAATAGAGATAAGGTTGTTCAATAAATCCAATCCCCTTTTGAGCCATTATCGACAGCATTAAAAAAAATCACAAGGGGTGTATTTTCAATATTTGGTTGATAATTGTAAAAGTATTTTTTCAATAGAAAAAATGCAGCAAATAGTAATAAAGTAACACGCAAACTCCATTTTCAAATTTTTTATAAAAAAAATTAAGAAATTGGATCAACAAAACTTGCTCTACTTTTTCCAACAAACCAATTCAATTGTTAACCCAATTTGAAGTGTAGAGAATGAGACACAGGTGGCATGATGTTAAGTACTAGTGTATCAATAGTCCTGAATTAAGAGATGAAACCTTCCTCAAGTAACTCCTATATTATCCATTATCTATGCTACCAGCTAGCTTCTTAGGTTTCCTTTTCCCATAAACAAATTATACATCATTTCATACATTGTTTTCTCTATTCCCTAATTCATCTACTCAACCTCCCCTGAATATCACCACCACTATCCAAACACTCTCTGTAACTAGCTGGTTAGATACTGATATATCATTAATGTGACATTAACTATGACATTAGTCATCTTAACGCTATTAAATCATTAATTGCATGCTATAATTGGGATCATACCATTCTATATTAGACAAAGTTGTAAAATTAATCTAACAAGTTGTCAAGTTAAACCAGTTCAACTGGTGACTGAATGCATTGATATCTGATGACACAAAATAAAATATAAATTTTAACTCGCAATATCTTATTTATTTATTTAAAAAAAAATTCAATTATTAAATTAATAGATCAAAATAAAAAATTAATCTAAGAAACTTAACTTGTATTAGCAAATAATTAACATAAGTTGTAGAAAAATTGTGTTGACATCATAGGTAAGTAGATAATACCTGTCTTAGATAGTTCTTGAAGAAGTTATGAATTTCCGGGAAAGTGGAAATGTTTCCTCTGCTGCATTTTGGACTACACTTTCCCTAGACATACATGTGAACTCAAATCAATACAAAATATGAGACTAGTTTAATTAAAATCCAAATTTAATTAAAATGTAGTTATTTTTGTATAAAAAAAAATTAAATTGCATTCCAAAATTGGAAATAAATGTTCACATCTTTGCATCCTATTTTAAAATATATTAATAATTATTTTTCTAATCTTTATCTCTTCATTCCACCCCTATATATAAGATTACAAGTTTTAACTCATTAGTCTCTAACTACATAATCTAATCACTAAATTTCTTCACAAAACAATGTCTCTGAGTGTTCCTCTTCCTCCTCGTATTCTAATAGTTTCTCGACGAACCGTTCGTAAGAACAAGTTCGTCGATTTCGTTGGTAAGTTAGTTTAAGTTAGTTTATAAACATATTGTAATTGTAATGTGACTAAATATTATTTAATTTTCAGGGGAATATCATCTAGATCTTATAGTAGCAAATGGTGCAGTACCAGTGATTGTACCTCGTGTTTCAGGTATACAGAAATTATTAAAAAGTTTCGAACCAATTCACGGTGTTCTTCTATGTGAAGGAGAAGACATAGAACCATCGTGGTACGAAGAACAAGATAACACAACAACGTGTGTTCTTTCCTATGAAGAGTTAGAAGAAATCAAGAACCTTCATTCAAGTGACACAACAGTTGATAAAGAAAAAGATTCGATAGAACTAACGTTAGCAAAGCTTTGTCTGGAAAGAAACATTCCTTGCTTAGGAATTTGCAGAGGCTCACAAGTTCTTAATGTTGCTTCTGGGGGTACACTGTATAGGGACATAACAAAAGAGGTGTCGGAAAAATGTGAAAGTAATTTTGTGATGCATATAAACTATGATGATTATGATGGTCATCGACATGTTATCAAGGTGGTTGAAAACACTCCTTTGTTTGATTGGTTTAAGGATTCTTTGTCGGAAAATGATGAGATTTTGGTTAATAGTTATCATCATCAAGGAGTTAAGAAATTGGCACAAGGTTTTGTTCCAATGGCTTTTGCTAATGACGGTTTGATTGAAGGGTTTTATGATCCTTATGGTTATAATCCTGATGAGGGTAGGTTTATTATGGGTTTGCAATTTCATCCTGAGCGTATGAGAAAACCTAATTCAGATGATTTTGATTACAATGGATGCACATTTGCTTACAAGGTACTATATATGCAATGTTAATTAATTATATAATTTTATTAACATTAGTCCTGATTTTTTTTTGATGAAATTTTGAAACTGTGGAAAATATGTAGGAATTTGTGAAGGCAGTGGTTGCTTATCAAAAAAGACACAACATTTTAACATCAGTGCCAAAATGTATGAAACTGAACAAGGAAATGAAGAACAAAAGGAAGATTGTTATGAGAAGTTTTTCGGTTACGGGCCGTGGGAAATGTTCCTTCAAAGAACCAGAAGTTCTCAAGGTAAAGCAAATGGAAGCAAAAGTTAGGAATGCAAAGTCATGTGTTGAGAGATTGAAGGTAAATGAGGAAAGAGAGAAAATGGCAAAAAATGTAATGGAGAAAATGTCAATTGAGCAATTATCTGACCTACTTTCTTTCTACCATAGTATGGGGCACATTTGTTCTCAAATATTGGAAACAAAGTTACATGATGTTGTCAATGACAATAGTTAGTTAGCTTATGTGTTATGCTTTTTGTTATGTTGTGGAATTCACATGTATCTTGGGTGGTATGTTAACAATGTGTATTTGAATTTCCTTTGTTCATATTTCAACTTTTTTTTTTTAGTTCTCATGTACTTTTCCCCATATCTTAATTAAAGTTATATGTATGTTAAGTTTTATAGTATCTCAAACTTATTCATTTTTAAAGTTAATTTGTAAGATAAAAAATTGTCATTTTTTCTTTTAATTTTTTTTACTTTTTTAATTACAAACTATACATACAAATAAATGCCGATAAAAAGAAGTTGAAAAGAAAAAAAGTTACAAAAAGTATCTATAAATTAAAAGTTTTAGACCATATCACGATAATAATTCAATAAAAAGATAAAAGAAAATAAAAAGCAAACCTCAAAACGGCCACCAAATAACAAATTCAAAATACTACCAACAAGAAGCAAGATAAATGTTAAGATGTTTTAGTCGAGAACCAAAAAGAAGTAATGCGAACCAAGAAGAAGTAGTGGGAATTGAGAAAAGGCTGTAAAATTCAAGAGTTTCGAGAGATGGAAATCCTAAAACTCGAGGGGGCACCAATCACATAGTAGTTTAGAGACAATTGATCACTCAGATGAATCCTTAGGAAAACTCTACGAACCGAAGGAAAGTGTTGTAACAAGCTTAGTAAGTGTTAATTTAGGACCCGAATGACGGATATGCCGAATTGCACTTATACAATAAGTCAACGCTAAGGATGCGTATAACCCAAATGTCCAAAAGCCACAAAAGAATTAGTTATCATGTTTCAACGATATTCCTTAAATGATTTGATGTCTTTTGTCAAGGATCGTAAATTTTTTTCAAGATAGGTACAAAATCCAATCTTAGAAGGGGCAACATGTGGATATCAACCATAGTTAATCTATAGACATTTTGTGTAAGACTCGGTCTTAGTATCAATTCATAGAAGAAAATTGGATTCTTTTATAGGTTTAGCCAAAAGTTTGTTATCACTTATCTTAATCTCATAAAAAAAGGACACAACGACCATCAAACAACTAATTAAAAAGACGGGGCAAAGAAACACATTCAGCAAAACACATCATAAAAATGGAGAATACAAAAAGGATGTTTAAAATTGGCTATGACAACAAACTTCACACGCCTACCATCCTCTCATGCAAGGTAGTTGATCCTTCACTCAATCACTATGGGAGAACAAGAAACCTATAAAATCACCATAGAGAGCGAAAATTAAAAGGATAGAGAAATATTATCAACAGATAAAATATTAGTGAGAATAATTACATCCATCATATGTCGGTCCTACGAAGAAGTATCATAATTGAGGGTAAAAAAACTTATCAATCTCATCATATAGCTCCTCCACCTTTTTCACCTAGACACCCCCTTCAACCAAAAGGCTACAATAAAATCTATTTGTATTCTCTACTTCACACTAGCATGGAAATAACATGTGTTAACGTCAACATCCATAAGCTACCATGATATAAAATGTTGGAATAATTGAGAATTTCTATATCTAAAAATTTCCAGCACCTCAGCTCGCATCTTGCTCATCTATGCCAAATCCTCATAGGGGTCTAACCTTCATTCTAGTGCCCCACACCCCTAGTTCCTTCATCCACCAACCAATACTTAGGTATAAGTTCTCAAAGACCTTATACATAATAACAACTGAGAAATGGTTAAACACATTCTAAAGTAAAGCCCAAAGACTCATTATTCAATTAAAGCTAGTTATACCAATACTTGTATGATAAGCTATGTTATACCAATATTCTTCCCAACTTAAAGCATTATACCAAGTATTAAGATTCTCAAAATTGAAGATGAGAATTGTTGGAGAAATTTTCAAAATATTAAATTGACAAATAATAATGGTTAAATTACCAAAATAAATGGCCAAAAGTTGCAACTCTCTAGAATTGAACCAAAGACCTTATTTGTGATAAGGCGCGTGGTCATAAGGTGTAACCACCATATCAACACAACTTTTCATGAAATGGTTTGCTATTATTGATATATAATGGTTCGTGAATGATCATGTTTAAACCATTGAAATATTGTTTCTCCTCATCAATTGGTACAAGTTTTTCTATAAATAGAGATACTTGCTAGGCATAAAAAAGACACAAAATTTACTTGTTTCAAGTGCCAAAAATTATATCTAAGTCATTCTTTTATTTTTCTAGTGCACAAGATTAAATAATGGAATTTTATTCCTTAAAATATCATTGATCAATATGCTTAATGTGAATATGCGATTCATGTTAAGGTTTCGAAAGCATCCTGAAAGGGATTCGCCGGTTAACTTTTTTGCCTCCAATTTGCATAAATTGGTGGTGGCGAATCAAACCTAAATCTTAGTGTAAACACACACTTTGGAATTATTTGGTGCAACTTTTATCGTACCATCTTCATCATCTTCTTCTTGTTCATGTTTTACAGAAGACTCCCAATAGAAGATCTAACAATCTTTAGGTTCGATTTTGATCCATACTTTATTTATAGTTAATATTAAAGTATGCAATTTTAAAGAAGATGGTAACAACTTTCAATGTCAGTGAAAGGTACACAGTTAATTCATATAATTTTTAAAACTATGGAATTTTGATTTGGATCTTTTTGTTTGTGGTTAATTTGTGACTACAACGGAGAAATGAACATTTGTGTTTTTTTATTCATCAATATGGTGAAAGGTACATAATCATATTAAATAAATATGTCATTTATATGATGTTTTAAATTCATGTAAAATATGTTGAAAATAATATTTATTTATGTTAAGTTTAACATATGGAATAAATTTATATATGCATGATTTATAAATTATTCAAGTATGTGAATTTGAATAGTTAAGAATATGATTGGTTTATGGTGTATACTTGAATATAAAATACATATTAAATATTATTTTTGGTGCAAGTAATTTGTTTTAATTAATAATGCATAAATTTTAGATAAAATAATTTGGTGAAAAAATTATGAATTTGAATGTATGATGTCTGTATTGGTAACATGAAATGATGTAAATAAAATGTTAGAAATATCAAGGACATGTTTAAATTGCATTTTAGTTTTTGTAAGAATTTATTAAATTTAAAATGATGTATCTCATATTTTATGTGTATTATAATATGAAAGTGTTATTTTTTGTTCATCCTGATATTAAAAGTAATTTTGACATATTTTAACTTATTGTAAGTTGACAAATATTTATAGAGAAAAGTTATAGAAAATATTAATGATGTGAATTCATTGTTTACTTTGTATTGTAATATTTATTTGGATATACCATAGAGCATTGTTAAATATGAAACATGAATTTATCACATAAAATTTGTTATGCATATTAGTTATGCAAGAAAATTATTTATTTTAAAAATAATAGAAATGAATTCTATGGTGTTGTATTTATATGGAGTTTATGAATTACATGTTTGAATTCACTTCATGAAATAAAAGTTAGTCATGACAAATTTGTTTGATCGTGATTGGTGATTGCTATAAATGTTTAATGAATTAAATATATTTCGGATATATTTAGGTGGAAGTAAAACTTCAAATTAAAAAGGTTAGAAAATGAAGAATAACATAAAACTTATGTATATGACAAAATAAATGACAAAAGTGTCATAATGATAGTTTATCGAAACTATCAAGAATATAGAACATATGTTGTATATGAAAATTGTACTAATATGACAAAAGTGTTATGATTTGCTAATAGATGGAAATCACTCTATGGCCTAAAACAAGCTCCCAGAGCTTGGTATGAGAGGCTGAGTAATTTTCTTTTGGAAAATAATTTTATCAGAGGAAAGGTTGATACTACTCTTTTCTGTAAATCAATTAAGAAAGACATTTTAATTTGTCAAATTTATGTAGATGATATTATTTTTGGAACAACAAATATTACACTTGGAAAGGAGTTTGCTGAGTCTATGCAGGCAGAATTTGAAATGAGCATGATGGGAGAACTCAGATTCTTTCTAGGAATTCAAGTCAACCAAACTCCAGAAGGCACCTACATACATCAGACAAAGTATGTGAAGGAGCTTCTGAAGAAGTTCAACATGACAGAGAATAAGTCAGCTAAGACTCCGATGCATCCAACTAGCACTCTAGGAAAAGAAGAGGTAAGTAAAAAGGTAGATCAGAAGCTGTACAGAGGTATGATTGGCTCTCTTCTGTATTTGACTGCTTCTAGGCCTGATATTCTTTTTAGTGTTTATTTTTGTGCTATATTTCAATCAGATCCTAGAGAATCTCACTTAACAGCGGTTAAGAGAATTCTGAGGTATCTGAAAGGTACTACTAACGTGGGTTTGTGTTACAGAAGATCTGATGAATTTAAATAGTTGGCTTCTGTGATGTTAATTATGCTGGAGACAGAGTTGAACGTAAAAGTACATCTGGAAGCTGTCAATTTTTGGAAGGTAATTTGATCTCATGGTACAGCAAGAAGAAACCCACAATAGCACTTTCAACTACAGAAGCAGAATATATTGCTGCTGCTGGTTGTAGTACTCAAATGTTCTGGATGAAAAGTCAGCTGGAAGACTATCAGATATATGAGAGTAACATTTCTATCTTTTGTGATAATACTTCTGCTATTTGCCTCTCTAAAAATCCTATTTTACATTCTAAAGCAAAGCATATAGAAATTAAACATCATTTCATCAGAGACTATATTCATAAGGGAATTTTAAGTTTAAATTTTATTGATACAGACCATCAAAGGCCTGATATTTTTACAAAACCCCTTGCTGAAGATAGATTTAAATTTATTCTGAAGAATATTAGTATGGATTTTTTTTCCAGAATAGAATTATTATTCAGAAGCAAATTTATTCGGATGAAAAATGATTAATGTCTATACTCTGAAGTGTTGCATCTGTAATTTCTTTTGTTACCTTATTTATTTTGTGAAACTCTGAACTAACAAGCTTCAGAGGATCTGAACACTAGCTAACGTTTCATTTCCT